GATTAGCAATCTTTATTATTAGTTTTTTTTCTATCTAATTTTCTGTTCTCTTAAATGAAATGTTTATAAAGTTATATGCGTCTCACCAGCGTATATAATTTCTTTTAATTACGAGTCTCACGATCTTTGTTTAGGATAAAATTGTAATGTATTTTTTGCGAAACCAATTTATATAAATTTGCAGTTTTCACATTAAATAGTATTTTGTCAATTTATTGTGTATAGTAATGCGTCCAAAGTAAAAAAATATAACTCAGTACTCACAGAAATGAGTGACAAAGAGCGCATTTTCTCGTCGACGAAAACTTGAGGTCACGGACAGACGGACGGATGGACGGCCATGGCGAGCACAATAGTGCAATTTTTTCCATAAATGAGAACATGCGCTAACAAGTAAATACTAGAATAAGACGAAAGGACACACAGCGCTTTCTCTCATTACTTTTATATGATATTTTACGAAAGCGTTTGTGAACCATGGGCCGAGTGATGAATCCAAGCTCAGTTACAGTACGCGATATGTACACTGCATATGTACACTACAGCATGGCACTGTACACTGTAAAAGCGCTGTACTCTGATGAAAATTATAGGTCATATTGTCCAAATAGTGACAGACTTTTTGCACGTAGCACTAATACGTTCTTCTGCAAGGCCAAGCTGGGTACGAGTGACTCACATGGGGGAAAAGAGCGGACCACATTTAGGACAAAGTCTATTAGGAAAAATATATCACTATTAGGACAAAGCCTATGAGGACAAATATATAACTATCTGGACAAAGTCTACTAAGACAAATATATCACTATTATTACTTAGTCTATTAGAAAAAATATGTCACTATTGAGACAAAGTCTTGCTAGTTCCTCTGAGTACGCAGCGTATGCCGCTTAGGGCGGACCGAGCCTCCTCGAGTCCCGCTGGTCATGCCGGTCTGTAAAAGCTGACGCTGGCCTTTCACAGCCCGATCGTTTATTTGCTCGGCCGAGTTTGAAATGCAGGCGGTCTTTGGTCAGCTGAAGACCGGCTCTGACGAGTCACTGAGCACGTCACGAGCACGCCAGTCTCGATATATTTTCAGCTCCAGCGAGGTTATGATTCGGTAGGCCGCGTCCAGCCTACGCGAGTTTTGTGATTTGGTTTTCGGTAATACCATTCGGTAATACCATGGCCCTTATGTAATCAGTTTTTGGTTTTCGGAAAATACCATTCGGTAATACCATTCGGTAATACCATGGCCCTTATGTAATCAATTTTTGGTTTTCGGTAATACCATTCGGTAATACCATGGCCCTTATGTAATCAATTTTTGGTTTTCGGTAATACCACCGCCGGGAATAGATCATTCGACCCTTTGTCGAGCAGTACTGTAATAGCACCGGATATTACTTCTAATTGTGCTTAAACTATTTTAAAGAGCAATGCTGTAACGCTGGATTAGTGTTGATATTACTGCTATTGTTCTTATCCAATTTAAGATGTTTGCCATCTATTTCTAATGTGTGTTCGTATCACTTATGATTTGTGTTAATTTTAGCTCTAATTAAGGCTCGCTTTAGTTTGTGCTGCAATAGTTATAGTTTTGCCCTCATATCTAAATGAGGTGTTCATCGTTTGTACGAGTATATGTGCTTGTAATCTCGTAGATATTTTTCGCTAATCGCATTTGTGCAAATTTAATTTCTGTTTAGACATAATCTCATTAATTTCCGTTTGGCACTCTTCTCATTTCTTTCTTTCTAATCTAATTAATTTTCGTTGCGTGCTCTTTTATTTTCTTCCGTGATAATCTCATAAAATTCCGTTGCATGCTCTTCTTCCGTTGCGTGCTCTTCTCTTTTTTTTCGTGCTAATCTCATTAATTTCTGTTGCGTGCTCTTTCCTTTCGTGCTAACCTCTTTTAGTTCCCGTTGCGTGCTCTTCTCTTTCTTTCTTTCTAATCTCATTAATTTATGTTGCGTGCTCTTCTCTTTGTGATGATCAAATTATTTTCCGTTGCGTGCTTCTTTCTTTTATTTCTTGCTAATCTAATTTCCGTTGTGTGTTCTTATAATTTATTTCGTGCTTGTCTAAATAATTTATTGCGTGTTATTTTACTTTTTTTCGTGCTAATCTAATTAATTTCCGCTGCGTGCTCTTATCTTTTTTCGTGCGATTCTCATTAATTCCCGTTGCCTGTTCTTCTCGTTTATTTCGTGCTATTCTCATTAATTCCCGTTGCCTGTTCTTCTCTTTTCTTTCGTGCTAATCTCACTCATTAATTCCCGTTGCCTGTTCTTCTCTTTTCTTTCGTTCTTTTTTTAATTCTTTCTAATTAATTTCCCTCATGCAAATAGGCGGAGCAGTTCTATGCGCTGAATGTTGTATTCGTGGGGTACGAAATCAACTCGAGTAAATTTGTGATACAAATTTTTTCTGAACTGTAGAACTATTCTTCGAATACCTTTGATCCATCTTCTTATTTTCGAATAAAACTTCAGTATATGAATCATCTCAGTTCTGTCTTAGTTATGAGTAAATTTGATGTTTGGTCAGATGCGCGTGGTTGGATAATGAAACTATTCATGTATTCTGTATAAATACAGAAGAATGTTTTGAATTTAGAAATTTTAAAAGACATCCGGACTGATATGAATATAGTATATACACTAAGGGTAAAACTTAAAAGGAAAACAACGCAAAACATGATAAAGATCTAATAGAGATATAGTAAAAACACGTTAATGGTAATAAGAAAGAAAAAGCGCTATGCTTCAGGTTAACATCCACTGATTTCGTTCAGAAGCTCAGTGAGGGAGTTTGTCTACATTGTGCAAGCTACGACCGCTTACAATTACATATCTTCAATTGAATATCAATGAAGTACTTCAACCTAACCTGCAGGACACAAAACTGATCAACATTCACTCTTTATCTTAATATATAATCGTGATCGCAGCCAACACGATTGTTATAATTTCGTTTTCGCATCAATATCAATGTTTGAATCCCACGTAGAGCTTATCGAAAACGAGCAACCTGTTACGCACTGAAATAGTGATTTTTGTAAGATTTTCGATGTTATAATGATTGAATGAATATAATTATTGAAAATATTTTCATATAATTCTTAGGTCGCTTGAATAAATCGTATGATGACACCAGTAGAGAGCCATGTCAAGTTACACCTTAATTAAGCAATTTTCAATAATTCCCACAAGTCTATGAAATGGTTTCATATTGCATCTTCGACTTAAATTAGATAAAAACAACATGTCCCTTCTAAGATGACTTGGCAATTCAAATCTATTGAGTATCTTTAGCTGAATGTACAGAGTATTACATAATTTGATTATTAAATAAAAAATTTGACATTAGATCTTCTCTCGAATGCCTGAAAATTCGTTATTTTCAAAATTTCATTGTACGAATAGATTAGCTACAAAACCGTGACATCATTGAAATAAAAAACTAATTTGAAATAAATCCACAGACTAACATCAATTGTTTCTTATGTTCAAACTTCATAAAATCGTTAAACGATGTTTTATAGCTGAATTCGTCTCTGAAATTTGATAAATGTTAACATTTTCATTAGCCAAGACGTAAAGTTTAATATAAAATTTGTTCCATTAGTTTAATAAAAAAATTGTTTGATAAAAAATTTGTTTCATCCAAATTTCACCCATTTTTTTGCACCGACCATTCCAGACAAACTGGTTATTAATAATTGCAATTTCAACTTTAAGAAAATAGAAGCACGTTTTGCGTTTTTTTCTGCCCGGCTTACTTTTTTTTTTAAATTTATGAACGATTGAATGGATTGATCACCTACCCTTATAACATGTATGAACAACATTTGACATCTTAAGCTTAATTAATTATCAACAGATACAAAATATAACTAACGTTAATAAATTAAGAGCCAAAAGAGATTTATCAAGTAGATTATCATATGAACATGGGGGATGTATGCCAGTGGAAGAATATGTTACGTGAAGTTTTATACAATTTATACATAAATGGAGTCCCGTGGCTTCATTTGGTAGCAAAAAGATACGTTTAAGTGCAAATAGCAGCCACTCGACCAAAACAAGCTCGATGGGTTTTTATATATTGATTTTACAGTGAATATACAAAAATAAAATTTCGGTTGAAAACTGTAATTTTTGAACTTGAGAGCTTCGAATTCAAGTTATAGTTCAAGAGCGCTAATTAAGTGGTGTAAAAATCATGAAGCTATTCATCTAGATTATATCGGTAAAACGAACTGAATTTTCAACTACATCTTCCATTTTATTTAATGAAAATTACATTCCATACCAATTTGAACAAATTTTTTCTGTCGAACGTACCGTAATTTTTTCTTATTCGCAGTGAAGCGTCATTCTCATCCTCATTTTTTTCTCGAAGAAGATAACCACAAAAATTGTCATCATTAATGCATACCGACTTGCACTTTTTGCCTTAAGCGTGATATTATTTACAGCGTAACGACGAAAACAAGTGCGAGATTTAGGTATTGATTAATGGAACAAATTAACAACGCTGCTGAGTCACAGAAAACAGACAACATAAATTAAACAATACTGTACAAAGCTGTTCAGCATCACACAAAATACGGGAACGTAATGCGCATGTTAGTTCAGACAAGAAAGATTCGTTGCAATCTGGAACCTTGCCACAACCACCGAATGCCATCTAATTAAACGCTGTGATCAGAGTTTTCTCGTTGTAACCGAATGTCAGTGTTTTATTATAAATTATTCACATTATTTCATTGGTTGCTTCGCTCTATTGACGTAAACTGTGCCATTTGATATATAATGCCCTGGCTTCAAAAAGGGCAAGTTAGATGTGGGAGAAGCTGGATTAAATATACTATTAAATACGAAGTAATATCATTGTCTGGAGCATCGCAATTCCGATTTATATCCACTCAAGTTACAATGCTCCTGTAGAAGTAAGGTATACGGTTGACAAGAGCCTTCCTAATGGAGGAACTTCGCTTCTGCAATGTCAAAAAAAATGAAGCTCGAAGCATTGATATTGATTCATAGCTTGCTGCTTAGATGGAACTTCGTAAAACCCACTCGTTCATTGCCCTGAATTTTTCGTCAGACATGTAAATATCTCACGGATCATTCAAGATGTTTTCCACATGGACAGCGGAATATGGGACTAGACAAGCTGAAATTAGGCAAAATTTGCAGCCTCTGAACCGCGTAGCGATTAATCGTTGAGGACTAGATTAATGTTAGAAATCCTTTGATTTCTCAGTTTGCCAGCATTGCCGTTATTTGAAACTAATGAATTTCACTGGGAGAGGAAAAGTAGTAAAACTAAAGCGCAAATCTTTCCATTATCTGGAAGCGGAACTGTGATGACTTAGAAAAATGTGTATATATAGCCAACATACTCATTTGCCATCAATATTTACAATCTATTACTGCCCTAGCTTTTTGGTATGTTGAAAACTTTCGTAAATAGGAATTGGAATAAGATTATTAAAAATATTGAGAGAAGGCTATAATCTATCATAGGTTATTCTGACAATTGAGATTCACATGAATGTAAAATTATTACATGTTACTTCCCCGCTTATGGTAAAGTCGATCCTCATGCTTCACTTTCAACTTTCTCCGGGCTGTTCAATAGCGAGTCCTCATGGCTAGGGGCTTGCGTCACAGCCTCGGCCTCTCTGTCATCCCCTTCTGCTGTGGGCGTGGGGATTGGTGAGGTAGAACAAGGGAGCCCAGCAGCCCCTGTTGGGGAGTCGACTGCAGCATCAGGCTGAGGACTGCCGACGCTGCGTTGAGATACGCTCGATGGCGAGTGTCGGGCATCATCAATTACTGGTGATGGTTGGATTAACATCGGTCCTTGTGAGTCACGTTGATGTAACTCATCGGTCTGCATCACACAAACTCCGTTAATTATCACCTGCCGGTTGGCGTCTACGCCATTGGCTTGCCACTCAGGATTCACCCACTGGGGAAGAGATGGTTTGCGACGACTGGATGCCGTCCGAGTAGCGGGCGAAGATGACCGATTGTCATCATCGTCGTTTTCATCATCATCCCGATTGATTGGACTTCCCGCACCCATTGACATATTAGAATCGTCATCAACTACGGAATTTATCGAATCGTCTCCTTCATGCTCAACTTTTAGCGACAAGTCCAAGCCTGGAAGTCCGCCAAACGGATGCATAAGTCCATGGTGTAGGGAGGGGGGCAACCCTTTCTCTTGACGGATTTCCATCAAACGTTGGGACAAAAGAATACGGAAGTGGAGAGGGTCGAGGGGTGGGTTCGATGCATCTCGAGGGCCATCAGGAGGACTAGGTGGCATTTGCTTCAGACGCATTCTGTGATTATGGAACCAGTTGGTGATTGTGCGGGGCGATAATTGAAGTTCTTTGGATAAAAATTCAACAGTGGGCAGACTTGGGTAGGCGTCAAGGGCGAAAGCGAGCAGCAGTGCTTCTTTCTGTTCTTCGGAAAACAATACTCTTGCTTTTTTGGACGAGCCTCCAGGTGAAGGTACTTGAAAATCACCGGAGTTATCAATTGGAATATCATGTGATGGATCAAGAGCTCGTCGCCGCTTGCTGGCCTCACGCCTCTCACTTTTGAGGTGCTGAAGTTTCTCGATGTTGTGGGGGTCGGTTAACCAAAGCTGCATTCTTATGAATGGTTCGCGGCCTTTGATGCTTAGCATGTGCCATGGCTTAGGCTTGCTCAATAATTCAGAAACAGAGCCTTGCGATAGGCCCAAAACTGCTTCACCGAACAACTGAAAGTGGAATGAAAAAAGACGAGTTATTTTTCAATACCAAGCAGGGATTTTGAATGTATTTTTCTCTTTTTATACAGAGATTTTTGTATGTATGTATGAAAATGATAAAAGGTTCAGAAAGAACATGTTTGGATAACAACGAAGATAGGTTAAAATTCGTATTACAAACCTTCTGCCCAATATTGTTAGCGAGCAAGATCTCCTTGATTCTTGTTGTGATGTTCTGGGTGTCTAAATCTTGCGTCAGGGCAGCCATTTCATAAACTGAAGGCATCAGTGGCCCTGGCGAGCGAAGGTTCGGGGCAATCTGCAAAAAATGCAGACATTTCTGATTAAAAACGGGAGCTAATTGTTGCCTCCCGTTATTTTTTGAGTAACAATGGAATAATAATAGGCCTATTATGATATTTTCATGACTCGCAAGATTCGACAAGCCCAATGCCTCTGGAATGTAAATTTTCCAGCTTACAAAAAATATACTTATCTTTATATAAATTTTGATCGTTTACATTTCGCACGTCAATGAATCAAGTAAATTTCACTTGCCAAAAAGCGTCTACCCAAAGAAAGAAATGGGTCAAAGGTCCCTTGACTCACTTTTCTGAGAGGGTCCAGAGGGGGAAGACGGTTCTCGAACATTGGGTGATGGGAGGGCATGGGGATGCCTCCCATAGACGCGGGGATTCCGACTGGAGGTAGCGGGGACTCCATCATGGGTTTGGGGAGGTCAGCGGGGAGTTTGATGTGGTGGGGCTTGCTGGTGCCTGCTGGAGGAAACCCAAAGGGTGTTAACCAGGGATTAATTGCCATTTAGTCTTGCAATTGAAATTACTTTTATTGTACGTGCTATAAACAACGCAATATTCCATGATCTGATTTTAAATGAGAAAACTAGGGAATCAGCTAGAATTTTATCATTGAAGTACTAGGAACTAAAAGTTATGTCAATTTTTAACCGAAAAAAATTCATTCCTATTTGATGAAAATTGAATTTTCGGTCTCAATTTCTTTATAGATCACGATGTAATCATAAAGGTTTATGGTTAAATTACAATAAAGAGTTTAAAAACTACGACAGTTCCTGAGACAGGTATTTATTTCAAAATTGGATGTGATGAATCAATATACAGCCTTAGGAAATGAATTGATTTTCGAAAGGTTGGAAAAATTTTAGACCCACCCATAAACAGCTCACCATAACCGCCTGTGCGCATTAGTTTTTCGGGAGCGATTTTGTATTGCGATGCGACGAGTTTGTGGATGGCGTTGTCGTCCTCCAGGAAAATCTTCATGCGGATGAAAGGTTCTCGCCCCTTGAAAATAGATGGATGTACGAATCATTAGAATAATGGAGACTAAGTCCTTCTAATAATGAGCCTTTGAATAATTTTACGAATAAAAAAATTCTATTGAAAGGTTCTCGCCCCTTAAAAATAGATAGAAGCACGAATCGTCAGATTAATGGAAACTTATTCCTTCTAATAATGAGATCTAATAATTAGCCTTTGAATAACTTGTACGAATAAAAAAATTCTATATAATGAACTTAAGTGTCATTCAATAGTAAAACAAAGATGCTCATCAAAATAAAGTGGGCTGGTATACGGGGAATATTGTACGTTAAAGATGAAACGAGCCCAAGTAGAGCCTGTGCATTCTGGAAAAGCATCGAAAAATAAAACCGTGTATGTATGCATATTCAGCAATTGCAAGCTTCATTCATGAATAATACTGATAGAGCATGAACACCAAATAAAAAGATGAACCTTCAATTTGAAAGGAGCAAGAAAATATAACGAATCTTAGCCCAATTCTTCATATAATAAATAATTAAGTTGAAGATTAACGGACTCTAAGCTAGCACATGTTCTGTAAGTGATTAAATGGCCCTTACTTTCTGGGTTAGCATGTGCCAAGGTTTGGGTCGGGCCAGCAGATCAGACACCGAGCCCTGGGACAGACCCAGCACTGATTCTCCGAAGAGTCGCTGAGAGATGCTGAATTGACTTAGCTGTTCCTTAACCTGAATAGGCGTAAAAATTCTCCAATGAGTTACCATTAAATGAACTTACGACAAAGTAAAAGATGGACGTAGTAGTGATATTTTCCGTAGGTAATACGTTAAATCAGCATATAAATCATGTTAATTTCGTTCTTTAATTATAGTTTATTCAAGTATTACTGCGGAAACGCGTAAAAGGGGGATTTTTGGTCCGTTTGATTACGTCGTATATGCGCGAGTATTAATGTTTAGATAAAACTGAACTACAAAGAAGAAGTAAGCGTACCTGTTTTTTCACCTAGCAGCTCGTAAAGGAATTTCGGAGAATGATTAACCCGGAATTTGCTATAATTCTAGTATTAATTTCGTTCAACAGTGATCGTAAATTCATAAAATTTCATCACTGTTACCCACTGCAATGGCAAAATATTTTAAAGCATACAAGATATTGAACACAATTAGATGTATTTTAGAAGAAGCTTATATTATCACAATCCGAACCGAATCCTATATTGAATACTGATTACTTCCCACCCTAGATATGTATATTAGTCCTGCGTATTGTTGTAGAATTAATATTGCAGACTCATCGATTTAATTAGAATTTAGTCGTCGATTTTGATTAGTTCGACAAAGTTGAAGACAAATCGCAGTAGATGAGTGCAAATTGGACCACAGAAAATTAGAATATTTCTCTTAAGTGTATATTCCAAAGTAGCGAAACAAGTCGTGAATTTGAAGAGTCGGTCGTCAAAGGTTCAAATTTTTCTCATTTGAATATATCTTTACTCAGAAGGACGTTGAATCGATCTTCATAGCCAAACGTACCAGTTTTCCTCGTGAGATTAGTCTTTTATAGATATTGTAATCGTGCATAATGCCTGCATAAATATTTTAATTCATCTCCATATTTTATGGTAGCTGAAGTCATGAATTTTATTGCCGATCTATCACATGTTGAATGGAATTCGCGTTCAATGTTGGTTTGAGATTCTCATTTGAATTTGGATGCTTTTCATATACGGTAGTTGGAAGACACAATTATTCGAATGTTCTATTATAAGGCTCAAGTAAAAAATGGCCAAGTTAGCTTGCATTACACTGCTGAAATTCAAGGTTTAATCCTAAAAAATAATACAAATTCTAGGAGCTATAAAGTATATGAAAAAGTATACATGACAGAAAAAACACTTATCAAAAACTGGTGGTAAAAAACTGTTTAAATAAATACATGTCTGTGAACACATCAAAATGACGAAGAATGGTGGTGTCAAAGTTGGCAACCTTGCACTATTTCAGAGACGAACATACGCTTCTCGCCTTATTGAAAGCGTCATTTCAAAGCATCATATCAGCGTAGGCATCACGTGCGTTTATTGCACCAGACGCGTAATTCTTCACGCGTTAATCTGTACATCCATCGAAGGTAAAAAGAGGAGGGAAGGCTCTTCGGTCTCTATCACTTCATCAGATAAAACCTTTAGGATGGCTTCAGTAACCAATGATGACACAGACGTATGGCTGCTGTGGCCCATAAGAGATCAGGAGAGTACTTTATTTCCCGTCAAGATCACTTCCAATATACCTATAATTATTTACCTTTACATTTCGGTAGCGTGCAAAGGGTATTAACCCCAGGAAATAAAATCTAAATAACCTTAGTTCTCAGTAAGGGATGAGATCATCACTTTTCCACTTATATAAGCAATCCTGTCTTTGTTGAATTATTAATATGCATATTAATGTTATAAGTTATTTTGATATTAAAGCGGCATTAATATGCATATTAATATCATCTAATAGTTAATTGGGATAGTGACGCCATCCCAGCGTTATAAAAACAATTGAGACGATATGATGATAGTAATAACAATTAACATCATCAAAAAGTAACTATAACACTCACCCTCTTAACAATTTCTTCGGTGTTGATGTTGGAGTACATGTCAAACTGTTGCTGGGTGATGGGTGGTAGCACGGCCTTCATCGGCTTCTGGGAGAGTCCGTGACTAGCACCCAGAGGCGGGCCTGTCACCAACGAGTTGGTGATGGAGGCCATTCTCTGCAGTGGTGATGCTGTCGTCACTATCAGCTGTGATGACGTCACTGGTGATGAGTCATCACCCACGGAGCTTGACATGAGGCTGCCAATGGAAGAAGCGCTCCCGAGAACTGCGGAGAAACAAAAACTGGTTTGAAATTTTTATTAACGGATGCAAAGCGCTTTAGATAATTGACGTCTTCCAGTATTGACGTATTGTTTTTGAGTATGCTTACATGCCCTCTAGACCCGTGACATTGTTATGGTAAACTAGTTCAACATTCCTGTGTATTTTCGTCGTCCTTAGAGGATTTAGTCATTAAGTTAATACTGCCGAAAAAATATAACGCAGTTCTCACTGCAGTGAGTGACAGAGAGCGCATTTTTTCGTCGACGAAAACTTGAGGTCACGGACAGACAGAAGGACAGACAGACGGACATGGCGAGGACAATAGTGAATTTTTTCCATAAATCAGAAAATGCGCTAAAAATTTTTAAATTACAAGATTTTCTAGGAATAATCACACTACTTCCACTAAAAGTGTAGTACAAGTTTAATTTGAAGCCGTCATGTGAGGTCATCGAAGTAAACTAAAAAAATTCGTAGCTTTGTTACGCAAATTACACCTAAGAATTGATATCCCATGAACAAATTAATAAATTGATTGATAAACTAAAGAATCGTGTACTCAATAATTACTAGAAGCTGTGGTAACATTCCGTATTATTATGCATTATAATATCGGTAGAATCTTGCTGGAAAATGTCTTCTGTTTGAGAGCAAGAAACGTGGCAGCAATTGCCTATAAGACCAACATTGAAGCTATGACTATAAAAGCGTCGCATATCATAAAGAACGACGTCTGACTGTCGCATAAAAATATGCATTGTATACTTCACAACAAGTCCCTATTTTTGACAATGCAAATGGTTTCCTATAAAACATGAACTCTGATCTCAACTTCATTCTAATTGACAAGATTGGAATTCTATCCTGTCCATAACCCTTATTTGCAAACGTCTTAAACTGCTTATGAAGATGCAAGCGATAGTCGGTAGGAGTATCAAATTTCAGTGTTTTCGAGCATGAGAGGAGCCGATGTTTTATTCATAAGAGGACATTTTTGCGATAAAACGTCCGTATCACGACACATCGGAGCACTATAATTGGGCCAAGCCCATACGACCGTTCGGCTCGGAGACACGTGAAGCTACCGAATAGGATCCAGTTGCCGTCTAAATTAATACAAACAAAATACCTCAATACTTCTTTTCTCTATTATACTTCTTTCGAGAAAGAAGTATCGAGAAGTATCTTCTCGATACTTCTTTTCTCTATTCTCATCTCTGGTAATTCTTTGATGGCATCCGCATCGTGCTTTTCCTGTATTTGAAATATAAGTATCGGAAAGGTCACGTTCACTTTGATGCCGTTGTATCAGATTTACGTAAGTGTCCTATAAACATCTTTGTCGTTTAATCTTATGCTGGCGTAATAAATGTTGCCAATATATTCATTAAATTCTCTGAATGAATAATCTTATCAATAGTATTTTAGTAAAATTCCACAAATGCATGGTGCTCTAAAGCTAAATTTAGTGATAATATTCATCTGGAGTAAGCGCAAAACGTCTTATGCTTCGGTATTTGAATTTCGTCTATTAATGAGAATAAATTTGTTTGTTCGGCGTTAGTTTTATATATGCCATGAAGGTAGCGAGATCAAAGTACTAATGAAGGCGTACCGACTCTAAAAAGCCCATGGTAGGTTGTAGCTGAATTAAATATGCACGGAGTCGAATTAACGATAAGGCGTCCATAGCGGTTGTCGTGTAAAACATACCCAGCAATTCACCTGTGATAATTGATCATAAATACCAGGCTATGACTTCATTATTCTGATTGCCCAGGACCAAGGGAAAGTTTTTTCAGGCTACAGATGAGGACCGACGATAAGGATATCGCCAAGAGTCCTCAGGTATAAATACAGGACGCGAGTTAGGATCACCAGTGACTGGTTTTACTGCCTAGGATAATGCCATGATTATATTCTAATGGTGCGGAGCGACAATTATTCAAACTGACCTGGCCAGCTCCTTCAGTTAACATAAAAAATATTCAATTTCACCAAGAAAGATAGTGTTTTCGTTTTATCCAGCTAAACAAGTCCCTGCACCTATAAAATGATTAATAACTTTCTCAATTTAGAGGGAAAGCTACAATTGACATACAGATTGTGAAAATTTAAAGTAGTTATAATAAATATGATATGTTTTAACCCATTTCTACTAATGGTAACTCTAGTTACCAGGCCACCAGATACGAAAGCACTGACGCTTTTTAGCGCATTTTATCATTTATGAAACAAAGGCGCTATATTGTGCTCGTCATATCTGTCCGTCTGTCTGTCTGTCGGTCTGTCCGTCCGTGACTTCACGTTTTCGTCGACGAGAAAATGCGCTCTGTCACTCACTGCAGAGAGTACTGAGTTATATTTTTTTCGACTGATGCGTCGGTGCGAGGTCTCGTTCCCTGAAATCTGGTGCAAGAAGCGTGCGAAGTCTTCCAATGCATACTTTTTTTTGTCCGGCACTTCAATCGACGCAGGATTTTTAGCGCATTTTCCCATTTATGAAAAAAATGCTCTATTGTGCTAGCCATATCCGTCCGTCCGTCTATCCGTCTGTCTGTCCGTCTGTCTGTCCGTCCGTGACTTCACGTTTTCGTCGACGAGAAAATGCGCTCTCTGTCACTCACTGCAGTGAGTACTGAGTTATATTTTTTTCAACGAGTGAATGGTAGGACATTGCAGTCAACAGTCATCAAAGTGCACATCTACAACTGGATATTATTATTCACTCGTTAATTGTTACTGGATTACAATAGTTGGAAATTATCAGGGCCCATACTTTCAAAAAAAGTTAAGAGATCGTAAGTTCATCAGCCAATCATTGACGGCCTTTCTAGCAAAATCCACCAATCATAGACAAGAAAATAGAGCGTAAGTACTTACGTTTACTTAGCGAATTTTGAAAGTATGGCCCCAGATCTTTAATTAAATTGGCTCGAGTTTAAAACTATGTAATAATTTAGTTCATGAATTCAAGCTTCATCTGAACAAAGGGTGACAATGTCAAGTCAGGTCTTTAAAATACAGCTAGCAGACAAGTGTTGTCTCCAAAATAATAATTTGTAATCACTGAGAAAAAAGATTTTCCTGTAAGGAAACGTGATTTTTTATCGTAAATTTCAAAAGAAGTGAAAACTGGGAAAAGAATTTACACACTTTGGCACTTGGCATCCATTCAAGGTGATTGAATATGGTTCGTTACATTAACGTCTTTCAAAGGGAAACTAAAATAATTTGTTCTCATCCTACACGCATAAAGCGAACGCTTGTTAACCAAAAGAGATAGGAGTCCGTACTCGTTCCCCAACAGCGAACTTGCTCACTGTCTCATAACTTTGCAACATAGCAACATAAAGTCTCACAACGGCGAGATGTCACTATTTCTTCGAGTCTTGCATATTAATTTGAGCGCATGTCTATAGATCAAGATTCGGATCAGGTTACCAAACCTAGGAGAACTCCTCCATTATCTAATACTCCGCGACCGCTGAGCCCGAGGACATTCCGGGCATTGCTGCCATTCCTGAGCCAAGATTTCGCATGTAGCCTTCTCTAATCATTGAGCATTCGTGGTCACTTACTAATGCCGTATGTTAAAGTGTTAATTAATTATGATTTGTGTGGAGACGGCTTTCTTGTGAGGTATCTGGAGACGGCAAGAACGGTTTTAATGTAAGTGCGACGATCAAACCATTACATGAAGTTGCGCATCATATCTTTTGTTAAAAAGCTCCCAATAGCATCGTTGAATAGAATGGCACACTTTCCATTCAAATTTTACGATTAAGTTTCGAGAATAGAAAAGGCAAACGAAACGAAAATCAAGGCAAACAATTAATGATCTCTTTTGTCGCAATGACGTTCAATATTGTACAGCCTTTTTGTAGAAATTGTTTATAATAGAGAAAGTAAGATTTCAGACAAAAATCGGAGTTTTTGTTCAGCCTTTTATTGCTGTGCATTTATAGAAAGCTGATTCCTTTAGTACCTGCAACACTGGAGGAATGAGTAATGGTCCCATTCTATTCATCAATAGAAAACAGAATAACCGCATTGGCAGATTTAAGTGCTAGCGTTTAAACCTTGACTGTGTATTAAGCCGTGCAATATCGAAGTGAAGTAGTGAATGGAAATCTTTATTGGCAGATATACGATTCACTTAATAGTATGGATGCCATTGAATAAGAACAAGTCTGACTCAATACAAAACAAGTTGCAATTCACTGAAGTTCTATTCTTCAAAGAGTAAATTGAGCTTCAGATAATTATTGGTCATCTACTTGTTTGTCTTCTGTGAAAGCAGAATAAAAGGCCTCTATTTCAGAGGCAATTGATATGGATTCGTACGCGCAGCTTTGGAGTACAAAAGCGAAGAGATCGTTTGCGGTTGAATTGTTTAAATGCTTAGTTCCTATAGGTGTGGGCATATAACGTATTATGGAAGGGATGAAATGTTTTGAGATGAACAAGAACTTTGGCTACGCGTGTTTTATTCGTCCATAATCTTGCATGGAACGCATCATTCATATTTAATTTCATATGAAAAGTGAACAGTGAATAGTTACAAACTAATAATTATTCCGTTTACCGACCTAATGAACGTGATCATAAAATCTAACGTAGATGATTAAAAAAATATTATTACTGAGCATACTAAATGTAAATCAACCATTTGCTCGCATTTATTTTGGTAGTAAAATTGAAAAATAAAATATAACAAAATAATAAAACCGCGGGAAAATAACGCGGTTAACCTGCATCTAAAACAAGAGAAGGCGGTGATGCGACTAATTCAATTTATTCAATTCATGAAAGCGGAGCTAGACATTCAATGTATGTATCTTAGTATCTTTATGTCATCTTTCATTGTTGTAAGTTGGTAAACGAGCGCTTAACGACCGCGACACTTTGTTCGCTCAGATTGGATCAGAATGTTGTTAGTTCACTTACCTGTGCTATAAAATTCCTATTAAGGGGCGTGGTTACGCACATTTTATTAAATATTATGATGAACCAAGGAAGCTTGCTAATTGATACAAATCGAAAACGCGATGATTTTTTTTTGTTTATTTACAGCAATCACTGCTAAAAAATAAATTTGAAGTTCCAAGAATTTATCATCATGATATTATTTTTTATCTTGCTTATTTAAACTCGTCGAAAAATATATTAAGGTCAATTAGTGGAGTGGTCTTTTAAACTTAATTTTGCAGATAATGAAAATGTGAAAAAATCACCTGCAAACCTTAACTCATAAGCATCACATGTAGAAATTTTTATTATTGGGTAACACAAATACAAAAGTATTTTTAAGCATTATTAAGTAGTTGTTGACTGCAGTTATTATAATCAAATCCTTCTGGCTGCATTTGTAATTTTTTTTATAATTTTCAGTTATATGACACAAAAAAATCCAGTAATCCATTTCGTTAAATTCGGATGTCATGAGACTGCAATAAAGATTAAATTCAAAATTTAACTGACTCTCGTACGTAAATCGGCAGTTATTCGTTCCTAAACTTGACAAGTCGTGCTGTTTAGATCAGCTCACTTCAGAAATTTGGAGTAATGTCCGTATCACGAAATGTAACCCGCATTCCATGCGTTACCGTAAATGCGAAGGCCAAAAAGAAATTAAAAGGTGATTATAATAGGTCTGTATAATGTGAGAGCATGTTGCTTAGTTCCTAATAAATGTGTTCGTGAGTGGCAGTCAAGGAAAACATCGCGATCACGTACTACATTGACATTCTGCAGAGCGCCTTGCAAGGCGCTATCACTTTCAGCAAGCGACCGCCGGAGGTGATATTCAGCCACATATGCACATTACAGCAACTATTAGGCACTTAACAATAGGCACGCATTCGTATAATTTTCAGGCTTCAAACTGAGCAGAGGAAGTCATCAAGCATCACGGTACATCCTGGTGAACTCGAACGTCGATGGTCATGTTCTTCTCGATAGATCTATGGACGCGCAGTCCAATGCTCGGTTGCCTTGAGTCTTCAATTAAGAGGCATTTCAATATGGAGATCACATATTCAACACCGTACGTGGTACTTATAGAACTGGTTCTGGCATAATCAATAGCTTGCACAATCGAACATATGTTTAGCTCGCCCACGTAGAATGGAAGCTTTCAACTATCATTTTCAGCTACCATGGCATCCTGTTCTCACTAATTTAAAAACGATTACACTTCTTGCCATTTCGAGATATCGTGATCTTGCGTGTGTGGGTGGTCAATCATAGTTGCTGCAGGGTATTTTAACTCTTATGTTATTTCGGGATCGATTTGGATGTCCAATTTGACGTGAACAAACTTTTATTGTCACGTGGTACTGATTTTATGCGGAAAAATGTCATACGATTGACTTACCGTGAAATGAAGGAAGCTAATAGAACAAAATTTAGAGCAGCAGTTCTTTTAGTAATCGTATTGAGGTTAAATTTTTTGAATTGCAGATCTAATCAAGATTGGCTCAAACTTTAAGACCTGCTCTTGCATACATGAACAAAAAATATAACTCAGTACTCACTGCAGTGAGTGACAGAGAGCGCATTTTCTCGTCGACGAAAACTTGAGGTCACGGACAGACGGACAGACGGACGGACAGACAGACAGACAGACAGACGGACATGCCGAGCACAATAGTGCATTTTTTCCATAAATGAGAAAATGCGTTAAAAATAAATTAAATAAAAACACGTTACAAATTGTACCGATTTTCCGAATGATAATTTTGATAACTCACTTGATTCCGCCTTGCTACGCGGGATGCCAAAAGGTCCGCACTGCATGGAATTTTGATTATTTTCCTCATCGTCGTCGACGCCGTTGCGGTGACCGGGCTCGCGTTTGGGGAGCGACAGATCCTGTGCCCCATTGTGCAGCCCCCCGGCCCCAAGACCGAGCCCCATGGCCAGGGACGGGGACCCTCCCACGCCGAGACCGAGACCCGGGTGGCCACCCATGGCAAGACCTGTGCAAAATTAGGGAAATTTTGAACGATAAAATGAGTTTGTATGTAGCTCACTTATTTATTTACACGTGATTAATAAAGTGTTAGTCATTATAACAGCTATAATAAAATTCTTGAAACGTTATTTATCTGACAGTTATTTTCTTCTCTCGTGTTAGCACAGAAATTTCGTCCGGCGATTTTGGAAGACCAGTGAGTGGTTATTTAAATAAATTTTACAATGCTTATTTGGATGAAAATGTATGCTCTTTCTTTTCATTTTTAATGTAGGGAAGTTGGGTCGAAGTAATTCTTTAATGAAGGTCATGTTGAAAAAAAGCGTAATTCATCTTATGCCGTATATTATATAGTTAAGTACATAAGTTACTTCCGTAATGCATAAAATGAAATTATGGTTTTCAGAGTACGGATTTTTCATTGGGTTTTCGAATCGACGTTTCAGGAAAACAACGAGGAAATCTATTTGTTGCGATGAATAAATTTTCGAAGTATGATAATCGGAGAGGAAATATTAGACAAATACCACAGTTTCCCATTTTCCATATCAGCTAACACGAACATGGCTCGAGAACGCAATAAAATAATATTCAAGAATTCACAAGGCGGTTCAAATAATTGGGTGTCGTACCACAAGAAATGTCATCTATAACGTATGTTCGAGCGGCTACGTGTTCTGAATGCCAAAACGAGCCGATGTTCAAACAAAAGCATTCACAGATCAAGAAACCAACTCAAGTGGAATCTAAAAGTATAAAATTGATTGTTGCGAGATTATTTACCCGAGTAACGCAACTAATTGTATATAATTAATAGGATATCAGTTTCGTGGCCTGTGAGTTTGTTGTCTCCAGCCAATTAGGTAGGAGTAAACGTATTAGAATGCAAAAAGGCGAGTCCGGCCTGAATCTCATTACGGTATTGGAATCGCACTTATCTACAATTGTGATAAGTTGATCGGTTTCTTGAACGATGTTATTATACAAATGTTCTGTTTGTATTAAAATCTCGTAAACTAAGGAATGTATTCTCGGGCAAAGAGTTAGTTTTTGTGTTGCTAAGTGGAATAATTGAAGTGGAACATTTGAGGATCTCGAAGAGAATTAGTACTTCTTCTTGAGAATATTTGTACGCTTCAAGGGACATGATCGGTCGTTTAATGGATTGTCAACGTAGGGCAACTTTGTGCAAATAGTTGGACGCAGTCTAATTATTCTTTATAATGGAAAAACGGCAAATTAATTATTAATAATGTCATGTGTTAAAAAGTTGTGTTGTCGAGATGGTGAAGAAGAGTTATATACAGAAATGTAAAAGGAACAATTAAGAAGATCTGACATGAAATTGTATAGAGTCTTTACAAGTTGAGTAACAAAATAATACCATTAAAAAATTTCATTGTTGTTCCTGTGTTTGAATCAAATTGAAAAATTTTGTTTAGTTGATATCCCATGTTTGTAGACAACATTTTCCCACGTACAGCATACAACATACGTTTTTAAATTCATCTCTGGCAATTCATAATAATTAGAATCAAATTCCTAATATGACGGGACAATTTCACTCACCGGCCGCACCAAGTCCCATGCCAGTGGCCGCCGCTGCAGCGCCCTGTAGTTTACTCCACTCTTGCTGGTACGCATCCAGAGCCATCTTGACGTCGTCGGGACCGCGATGAAAAAGTAAACTTTGCCCCAAAAACGGGAAAAGTAACCCAGGATAATGGGGATGTTCCCGGTGAAGTGGAGGAAGGGGAGGCGGAGGATTGTTCTCATGTGGAAGAGTAGGTCTGCCCATAAGTCGCATGAGTTCTTCTTGGTAGAAACGAGCGACCTTCTCAGGCGTGTGGTCGGGTAGCATGGATACAGGGTTGCCGGGGCCTGAAGTCGGAGGTTCTTCCTTGCTTAGAGGACGCGGTCGAATGCGCGGTGTTGAGATGTCCCGCGACAAAGGACTGCAGTAAAATATATTGTTGGTTGATAAACAAATAAATAATCATAACATATATATATCTAAATAATATTCCATGAGTGATTGTTAGATTGATTGTTGATGGAATTTCTCATGCCCCGCGTGTACTTACATATATTATTAGTCAAGTGCATCTAGGTAATTAATGACGAATGAATCAACCTTCTAATTTTTAGGACCATGATAATTCATGACATTGATAATGCCAAACATTGGTTCTAAAAAAAACAATCATTATGACGACCTGGCCTTTACATGATAATTGTAAGGACATTATTTTTAAAATAAGAATGATCTATCACTATTACGAGGTTTCTGTGTCTATTAATAGATAATCATTGAGGATCCTTTTAATATTTTCTGTATTCAATCACGGCAAAATAGAGGCCGGTAAGACAGCATAGATCCAATACTCTATCCTTCAATCACGTCAACTTGCTCCAGTAAGCAAGACCGGCAGGTAAAATGCATTTCATAACGTCGTGATTCATCAACCTCTTCCTCCTATATTACCCCGCCGCAAGGAAAGCTAACGAATACTGAAAAGATGGTGTATAATGCGACGTAATGATCATGAATTGGAGCACGAGAGCTCCATGTATATTTGGAGCACGAGAGCTCCATGTATATTTGGAGCACGAGAGCTCCATGTACTTTTGGAGCACGAGAGCTCCATGTACATTTGGAGCAGGAGAGCTCCATGTACATTTGGAGCACGAGAGCTCCATGTATATTTGGAGCATGAGAGCTCCATGTATATATGGAGCACGAGAGCTCCATGTACATATGGAGCACGAGAGCTCCATGTAAATTTGTCTGTGTACTGAAGTGTCTCTGCTAGGGCCGGGTCATACATTGATTTCGTAGCTCAGCTACAGGTTACGACAAGGGATGTTTAGAGTTATTGGTTGAGATGAGGTTTGAGGAGAATTTTGTTGGAGTGTGTTATGTTTTAGTGCGAAAAGTAGAAAAAAATTCTCCATCTAACAACATTCAGTAAAAATAATTTTGACTTGAATCTAAAGCCTCAGCTATATATTCACATATATTTATAATCAGAATTTATTAAAATTAAAAATAAAGTGATATACTAACTAAGCTACGGCTCATAAATTTTATACATATGGTTCATATGCGTTTAAAAATTATGCATGCTCAGGCGATTGGTGAAACTAACGTAGAAATTTCAATCAACAAGGACAAAAGTCAAACGAAGGTTTTAGGTTCATTCATTGAACAAGTATCAATTTTCAGTTAAGTTTAAAAAAAATTCTACTTCGATGAAACATTTGGGTATTGGTATAGCTACTTGTCTTGTCATCAATAGAAATTACTTTGAAAATTTCCTCTAACTGTCAGACTGATCTTATTTACAGAAACTCTTCAAGCACACGAAATATATGATTGTTCACCTTGACGAATAGGTAAAATACAAAAAATGACTTCTAAAGTTCTAATGTATAAAAATGTATAAAGGTGCTCACCTTGACGAATATGTAAAATACAAAAAATGAATGCTAAAGTTCTAAGGTATAAAAAATATATATGTGCTCACCTTGACGAATATGTAAAATACAAAAAATGACTTCTAAAATTCTAGGGCATAAAAAAATGTATAAATGTGCTCACCTTGACGAATATGTAAAATACAAAAAATGACTTTAAAAGTTCTAAGGTATAAAAAATATACAAATGTGCTCATCTTGACGAATATGTAAAACACAAAAAATGACTTCTAAAGTTCTAAGGCATAAAAAAATATAAATGTGCTCACCTTGGCGAATGCGTGGAACTGGCGGGAGATTTGGAGTCAGTGCTCCGCGAGTCTTGGTCATTATTGGCGCTTGCGATGGATGAGGCGATGGATGAGGGCACCATGATGCTGCTGGCGAGACTGCCAGGTGGCAGAGGGATGCCTGGATGAGGTCCTACCATGGCCCTGGATGCCTCACTGAGGATGTGTTGGATGCGTTCTTCGGTGACGGATTCATCAGATCCTCCGCGCATGCCTGGCACGCCATCTTTGTGAGTGCCTGCGATGTAGAAAATTGCAAGTGTTCAGAATTATTGCTGTATTAGTGAGTTCTAGGAACTTTAATTCAATCTTACTTTGCATATGATATACTATTTAAAACGCCGTATGTGGTTCTCAAGTTATTGATTTATACATTTAAATAATTAAGGACATAGGAATTAGGGATAAATTCGTCCTAAGTCAATTGGTAGTTGCATTTTGGACGCTTTTTGCCGGCAGGAGCGCTATAATAATAACAGCTCATTAGGGCTGTAGTCTTATTATCGTTACTCTGTAACGCACTAATTGAAACTATAACTATGAATACATTTATAGCACGATAAATTAAATACAACCAGATAACAACCGTTGCTCTGAAGTAAATCATCAAGTAGAAGTCACAATAAGTATTGCCAAAATTTCACTCAATTTTATGAATTATCTGTTTCGCAAAATTTCGCTGAAATTGTTGGAAAAATTAATTCGTCTAATTTCATTGTTATATGATAATAAAATAAAATTTATATACTACTGAAATATTCCCTTGTTGAAGTAAATAGGTTCAAGCCATTGATACTTTTAACGCAACTATCATAGATCAAAAGCCCTCTGCTTCACTTCTTCTCCCGAGTGATTGAGTCTTTCAAGGTTTTGTTCTTGATCACATAAATCTAGTCGGCTAATTATTCTCTCCTTCGTCGCATATCAGGCCGATCTTCGCTCTAAATAAGCGCAAAAAGTCGCTATTGCAGGCGACATGTTTTTTGTCAACGTTAATCTCGAGGCCAGTCGTTTGCCATTATTTTAGGGCAAACTTAAGACCAAGACGAGTGAACAAAATGAATGGTTATTTGCATGTCAGACTTGCGCTCGTTTCAGATCACTTGCGTCCGTATGAAGAATTAACGAAATCTCGTAACTTTTCTTGAAGAAGTCTAAATTAGAGGAATAATTCATAACTTCCATTTAAGGTAACTCGCACCTGTAAACAATTCTTTTTACATGGTGATGAATTGCACTTCGTTTTCTTCGGAACAAATATCGAAGGAAGTGACGTAATTTTTCTTGCTTGAGTACAGCGATGTCATCAATAATGTTCCTCCCAACTGAAGATCGAATACCAACAGATCCTAAGACCTACAAATCTTGAACAATGATGCGTTTACATTGATGGCCATAATTCTTGTAAGTTGTACTCATCATTCACGTTTATGCATCGGAATATTTACGTCCTCTATCAAGCGTTCAGGCATTCGTGACGAGAAACGATATCGTCACGGCCCGACGTCCTCCGGCGTGCGCTCGTATACAGACGAGTTCAAGACGAACGGTGTCTAATTTTATCGTCTAATGTTGAAGACTTGCTATACCTCGTCATAAAATTATGGTTCGTCTGAAAACCAGTGACATCTTAGAACTTCTTACTGTGTACATTAAGACGTAAGGTAAGTATTTTTATCGTCTAATGTTGAAGACGTGCCATACCTCGTCACAAAATTATGGTTCGTCTGAAAAAGTAATGGCTGAGCAACGGTAAGTTCGGCTCAAAAAACTGGACTGACTTGTCCACTTCCGACTGCGCTCCTATGCATAATTATTTCCGGATACCGTATGCAGCGAGACATTCATGATATTCTGATGAACATGATGAGTATCCTGACGAACATGATGAGTATTCTGATGAACATGGTTAGTATTCTAATGAACATTATAAGTATTCTGATGAACATCATGAGTATTCTTATGAACATGATGAATATTCTTATGAACATGATGAATATTCTGATGAACATGATGAGTATTCTGATGGACATGATGAGTATTCTGATGGACATGATGAATATTCTGATGAACATGGTGATGTGGTACGTGGCACATTATTTGATGAATGTAAAGGTATGCATATTACCAATATATTTGAATAGCGCTCATATTATTGGTGTGCAGTGTTCATGCAGAAAATATACTGTCAAATAAGAAAAAGCTATGGAAAGATCGGGTTCCAAAGGCCGGATCCCTTGTGAATCAAGTCACGAAAAGTTCAAGAATCGGCAACAGGCCATGGGCCTATTTCTTCAGCGCCGACACTTCTATTCTATTCTATTCTATGTATATTTGGAGCACGAGAGCTCCATGTATATTTGGAGCACGAGAGCTCCATGTACATTTAGAGCACGAGAGCTCCATGTACATTTGGAGCACGAGAGCCCCATGTACATTTGGAGCACGAGAGCTCCACGTACATTTGGAGCAGGAGAGCTCCATGTATATTTGGAGCACGAGAGCTCCATGTATATTTGGAGCACGAGAGCTCCATGTACATTTAGAGCACGAGAGCTCCATGTATATTTGGAGCACGAGAGCTCCATGTACGTTTGGAGCAGGAGAGTTCCATGTATATTTGGAGCACGAGAGCTCCATGTATATTTGGAGCACGAGAGCTCCATGTACATTTGGAGCACGAGAGCTCCATGTATATTTGGAGCACGAGAGCTCCATGCTGTCTCTTATACACATCTAGATGTGTATAAGAGACAGCGTACACGTCGTGTCGTCCGGCGTATAAGTAATGCATGCCGGGAACGTATACTCATGATACGGGTAACGTACTCCTACGTACGCACTGCTCGTGCACATATCGTGCGGTGGAGACGTTCAGTCGTTCGTGGCTGTCACAGTTCCGATCCATCTAATATGGTCGGAAGCACGCATGGATGATTTAAATACAGGTTTTATATACAGCCGAGGCACAAGTGGAGAAGCATCGACGACGTACGATCTTTGGCTGGAAAAAGACGGCATGTGCATGCACAGCTAGGCGTGATGATTGCTTTGTATTGCCTTATGCAAATAGAGATCTTTCTTGTACTGCTGTCCATATTGCCGCAATAAAATACAAACTTGAAGAGCCATCTTGATGGCCAAAAAATGTATAAGATTGCGGCATTCGGTTCACAGAGGTATTGCAGGTGAGTATAAGTGACGCGTTCCCGTTATATTATTTAGTATCTGTGAAAATTGTGCCTTTCGAAAACATGAGTTGGCGATGAGTGATTAAAGCGAAATTCTTCCGAGTATTCAAGTTATCACGCGTTCATTAATTAATCAGTTATAATTACAAAATAATTTTCATATAGAGGCGAATAATATTACCCGCAGACTTGACCGGAAAGACTGACCGATATATAAAAGGGAATTACTTATAGAAAAAATATAGTCATTGTTCTATGATTGATAATTCTGAATTTTTAGGTTACAAATTTTGACACGCAGTGCGCCAAGTAAAAGAAAAAGCTTTAAATTCTTGCTAAAGCAAGAATTGCCTTAAGAATTCATTAAACGTCGTCATCGCTTGTAAATATATTACCGTAATTTCTATAATATCCTTTATCTACACTTGAAAACTATCGGTTGAATGGATAAATATCTAAGAACAACAGTTCGTAGAAGTTATAGAGTTAAGTGATCTATTATTATTTACTACTGAACACTGAACAGTTAACAAACATAGTGTCGAAGGTTTGACACGATTGAAGAAATATCAAGTTCTACGGCCTAGCTCCGCACATCGGATACAATTTTCGTTATACGCACGGACGCGATAGCAACAGCGGAGGCCGCAATTAAAAACGAATCGGAAGGCACAAGCCATAACATAACTCGAGACGATTGAGGAAGCAACGAGTAAGTTATCAAGCGTGACCGAACGAAGGAGTATTGGCCAGAGAAACGTTAAGAAACTTGCAGGAAGTGCTGAAGATAAGAACATGAACAAGAATTTAAAAACGAGAAAATTCCAAGCAAGTTTTCCATATCTTCACCGATCACAATTTATTCGAACATATTGTGAGCTTGCTTGGCATTTTATTTGATATTAAATTTTTGGTGAACTTCTGATTCAAGCAGAGTATTTATATTAGTACTTAGGAACACGACCATGCAGTAGATATGAGAAAGGCGCGAGTAGACTGCACGTTTCATGATTTGATTATTGAATAAATTAAGGGACCATATAGGCCATGAGTTTCAATTAACGGAGATATGTTATATGTAATACATCATGTTTGGTATGATATGAAAGATTTTTAACAATTGAGTAGTTTATCAGTATTTAAGAATGTATATTTTTAGACTGTATGAACTAGTCTTCAGTGATTAATTAGCTAAGTTAAGTGCGAAAACGAGGAAAACACGCATAGTGATCTACAACTTCATTAAGTTTACTATCCCTTATATAGCATTTAGCTTGAAGAGTTTCAACAAGCTGTTATCCTCGATTCGACAATATCATCAAAGTTCGTCTGTGCATAAATGAGAATTCTTCAACTGATCTGTGATCTAATGGAGAGAGACGTAGAAATCAGCCTCAATGCTCAAAATAAATGATCACATTACAGAATTTTTACAAATTAGACAACATTCTCTCCCCAGACCGCTATTTCTCCCGGAATCCTGGCGGCGAAATAACAGACATGAAAAATGATATCCCTCGCATGCACTTGTTTTCAGTGCCGGGGCTGAATTTCCATCGATCATTTACTGTGAATTCCTATTTCTCTGGGACGTTTTAATCAATTATTGCGAGCCAAAGTAGCGTTAATCAGCAGGTAATCATATATGCAAGTCCCGCCATCAGCGTCTTCTATGTGAAAATATCGAAGCTTTCGATACGCTTTCCCCGTACAATGAATGATGATCGACAGCAACTGTTCGCTGCTGCATGCGCATTGCTTTACCGAGTTACAGTGATTACAAGGCTCCGAATTATTGATTTCTATTAGAAGATTTTATCTCGCCTAAAGAAGATCTGACACGTTAATGAGTTAGTCATAATAACCGTACTTGTGATATCGATCGATATTGAAATTGTTGTATTTTATTGTATTATTAATTTTTCATTGTTTTAAGAGTCACAACGCTGAAAATAACGCTTTCTTGTCTGATATAAATGACAAATCAGTACATTATATAAAATGTGAATATCAAACATTTGATTACACAATTATGCAATAAAATTAA